CGGACAAAAGTTCCTCGAAATATCATTCGACGGAATCTATTACGATATTTGCGATATTTATAGCAAAATAGCAGATATCAAGGGTCTCTCAGTTCCTCGATATACGAGATCTAGGAAGAAGAGGTTAACTCAATTTGGCGAGCGATCACGAAAAGATTGCTCGATCAGTGGGTGCATTCGAAAGATATTAAAATATTATTACGCTGATGAAATGGAGTTTCATGGGTCCGTCTGTTCTTATTTCGCGAAGTGAAAACAAAAAGGGGTTCGTCGCGCGACAATTCGAATTATCGTTACTTCGTAAATATTTGCATTGAAAACCTAAATCAACGGTCGGTTATTGACGTTGTAGTAGAATAAATATAACGCGGGGCGCGTTCGGCTCGTAAAACGCGACGCGAACTCGTTCAACGGAGTGACTTCAATCGACGAACCGAAATCCTCTTCGAGAATTTTTTGCCGCGGCCGAACCGGTCGGCTTTAAACGAATCGAAGCTGCGTCAAGGATGCCTTTGGAAAGGGCGAGGCCGAATTTAACCGCGCCAAAGGACAGGTAAAAGAGTTACACGGAAAGAACCCTACCAGTGTTCGCGAGATAACCGGTACACCGGCACCGTACCTATAGGTATATAATGCCGGGACCATAAACGTACTTTTTATTCCTTTTCCACGAGAGTAACGCTTCTTGATCCCGTTATGTCGGCGAACTGCCGAAGGAGGGTCCAAAGAGAACCCGACCAGCATCTTGCGGAACGCTCGAATCTTCCAAGGCAGGAGGCGGCATCCGAAACGACTTTAAAATTAACCGTATCGTAATTTCCTCTCACGGTCGCGATAGAATTTACTCGCCGTTGTCGTCCCGGGACGATGAAAAGAGGAAGAAAATCGTCACCTGGAGGCAGTTTCTCTGAAATGCCGGAAAAGGATTTCTCCATTCGCGAGAAGAACGCCCGATAACTCCAATTACCAATTTATTGCGACGACTCGATTCGCTCGGGCAAGAAATATTCCGAGATTACTGAAAAATGCCTGTCGAGGAAATAAAATCCGACGTTTCGTATGCATCGATTCCAGCAACGGTGGCCCGATTGCACGTTGCAACCATTCGACTTTTTGACGAATTTTTGTATACTATATCCACACAGTATAGTGTTTGAGTTCTAATATTGGGAACAAAATCGAAACTATATCATTGAAACACAAGTTTTTCAATAAAACAGATTAAATACGGTGAAATTGAATTAATAAAACGATACATTAATTTTTTCACATATGGTACTTATTAACAAAGTTCACAAGTTCTTGATGTCAAGTTTCACAATCTGTGGGTGGTCTGTGCAACTTGTGCACCTTTCTAACTTCCAAAGCTCGACAAAATTTTGTATAAAAAAATTGCATGGTTTGAGGTGAATTTGTCTTTTCTATAGGTGAATGTATTCTGGAGATCTGAAGGTCAATTTTGTTTCTTTAAATGGAATATTATACTTTTTACACCAAAATATGGAAGAATATTAAATTCTGAGTAAAAAAGTGTCGATCTGCATTGGCTCTAAATCTAATAACTAATAAGCAATTTCACTTTATTTCTTAAAAATATGGGCTGAACAAAATTTGTTGTTTACAATATTATTTTCCTGTTATGGTTTCTATCTCAAACGAGTGAGATACGTAGGGTGGGTTATACGAGACAAACCATAAAGAAAAAAAGAAGAAACGATTCTTTTTCGCCACAGAGGGTGATGCAACATGTTAAACGTTCGGGTCCCACAAGACGAGCAAAGAATTCAAGGAAGGTTGACCGCAGACTTTCGAGCGATACCGTAAGCGCGTCATGCGCGACGGGCGTACGATGCTGCAACGCGATAAATATGATCGGTGAAAGTTCATGCAAGTCAATCGTTGGTACGTCGCGTCGGAGGACGGGGCGTTTTGAAAAGTTACGATTACTTCGAGACAGGTCGTTGGAGCTCGGGTCGAATGCGGAAGGAATAGCGTCGCGACGTTGTTATACCGGGGCTGTTCCAGCAACGTTCGCGAGCGTTGCGACACGGCGACGCAATTGGGTCAAAGTGTGCAGTCACGAAGGTGGCCGGGAGTCGAGGTTTCAGCGACGCTGCAGTAATCGTGCATTTAACCGTGCACCGGGAATAGTTGTGGCCGAAGGGCTGTTCCAGAAACGATGCAACGAACAAAGGAACCACGTGCACGCTTCTGCGACCGTGTCGTGTGACCCGAACCCCTACGTGGCTCCCTACGGTATTTCTCTTTCTGATCGTGACGGAGCAACGTACGCGCGTCTCCGCGGACAGTTTTGCATAAAGTGCGCCCGCACGGTCGCACGATTGGCTGAATGAAGCGCGTTAGCGTGTCAAACCAAAGCACCACAAAGGTGTCGCGTCTACAAAGCTATCTCGACTCGATCATAAAACCCCTTGACTCGAGACCGCGCCGGAACTAATACGGACCTTTCGTGTATCCAGTCCACGGCGTCGAGCGTCGAAATCATATCGATAGGACCGTAACCAACCACTTTGTTCCGTCGCTTAAATCGTTGGACGATCGAGAGATAAATTAGAACAAAGAAGCCTCTCGAAATTATGAAAAAATTCGCGGGGAATTTCGAAGAATTCGAAGCTATCTGATGCTAACAGAGGCTGTTTAAAGAGACGATGGAAGCGCTCGCGACATGATAAATTGGAGCAGAAACCAGTTTACACGACTTAATGACCGCTTCTCGGAATACCGGGCGACCAAGGAAATCGAACGTTCCGTGCCTTTTATTCTGTTTAAGCGAGCCGCTGATCGACCAATACGAAGACAGTACCGAAAGCTACGGGAACTACTAGAGCAGGTATGTCGGACGCCTGCTCGACCTATATTATACATTCGGTGTTCTTTTCCTCTCTAAAGTATAGTGGGAACTTGTACCGTACAAGGAAATGTTACAGGAAGCAATGAAAAAAGATCGTGAACGAAGGAGTAGCATAACTAGTCGTACGATATTCTACAAAGGCCATAGAGAAAATGTTTAACAATTTAAATAAAAACTAAAAATAAATGAAATAAAACAAATAAAAACAGTGTCAAATATTTAAAAAAAATAATATGTTATATTTTTCAGAATTACCCGCAAAAAAAATTTACATTGCGACTCGTTTCTTTTTAACTGAGCGATGCAATTAAAAGATAAAAACGATATTTTTGTTTAACCATAACAGTTCAAGTGTCTTGTAATTTTAAAATCACAATACAGCTAATTTTAACCTAATCTTTGCACTTTGTAATACCCGTTCTGAAAGTCGCGTGGGCCCGAACAATCATCGAGCGGCGCACTATCGTAGCAACGCAGAGTCTTATCGCTGAATAGTTCGCGATTGCTGAATGTGCGCGTCCCGCGCGAGTTTGCACGAGTCAGAAACGCTCGAATCGTTAATTTGTAAATTAGGAGAACCATCGAAAACTTTCTTATCTCTAGAAATTACTCCGATCGGTAGCGAAACTATTATTTACGAACGTTCGCAGTATATCGTTTGCACGAGATGTCATAAGATTTCAGACCATTAAAACGTGAAATAGAAACAAGAAGAAATATTGTTCGCGAAAGTATAAAAAATATAATCCACGTTCAACAAAATTGTACTTTCTTGCCACCTTCGTTTGCCAAAAAAAAAATGTTAATTTGAATATCCCGGGTGACGGGCGAGAGGCGCGCGAAGTTTGAACGCGTACATGAAATTTTTACGCATAAATTATGCGACTCGTATCGAAGCGGATTTCATAAATATTAATATCGCGAAGGAAAATTCATCCTCTGCCCTTTGCCCCCCCACCACGGTCCCCCGGTTTTATTCGTGGATATAAATATATTTCCACGTGCACGTTACGGCGAAGCGTGCGTCAAGGGTGAGCTAGGTAAAAGGGAAACCTGTCCCCGGCGGAAAATGTCTGCGGTCTCGAGAATCTTTAACGTAGTAAGTGGCTGCATTAAACGAGAATCCTGTTTACGATGAGAAAAATTTCCAGTAAGTATAGTCTACCACGGGGAGAGGCTCCGTTACAGATGGATTTCCCCGCATTACCGTACAACCACGCGCGCCATATTTTTACCCCCATCGCTGGGAAACATTTGCTTAAACACCTACTGGCGCATTCTTCTCGTTACCATTCAGAGACATTTTCTATAACATCGATGGTTATTTCGATTAACTTGGAACTCGTACTAACTTTATAACTCACAGAGTCATTCATTTTTTAGAGTTATTTTCGATTGGGAAAACTGGGCAACGGAAAAAAAAAATAGTCTTTCGCCAAAAAACCGCGATGAGTGATCTTAGCCACCCACCATGTTCATCTGCTATGGTGATAACTGGACTGCGGATGTTTTAAGGGAAATTTTAATTTTTAAAAAACTATAGAATGATGTTAATAGGAAACTTCCATAAGAAATATGGAATTATTCCATATTCTAATATTAAACATACGATAACAGTATCAATCGTAGTCTTGGCGAAGCTAACCTGTTTAGACAGCTAAACTTCTTTAGCGGTTCTCTGTATTCCTTTAACCCTTTGCACTCCTATGTCGAGTGTGATTCGACATCAATTTTTATCTCAGGAGCTCCCTCGTCAACCAAAGAGATATCGTACACTTGAAAGTTACAAAATGCAACAACAGTGTACATAAAACAGGTAAATTTCAAATAAAACACTTAAAGGCGTTGGGAGTTGCTGGTAACAAAATTGAAATATAATTCGGAGTGCAAAGGGTTAAAAAGCACGAGTGTTATACGCATTTCATAACATACGCGATTAACGAGACTTTTGCACATATTCTGCAACTGTATTATACATAGTAAATAAACAAATAAATAAATATTCTAAACGTAGCATTAGAGTGAGAGTTTCTAAGTAGTTGGTCCCCCGACGCCTGTCTTGGTATGTCCAAGGGTTCGTTCGTCGATAAAGAACGAATGAAAAGAAACATGGAAAGATGAAACTCACCCTGTGAGGCGCCCGTAGAAGTCGATGCACCGCCGCGAGCTGGTTAATTAGTGGCAAGGTCGCGCTGAAGGTGTGCACAGGCGGCCTAGGTGGCTCCGGATAGGAGCTCGCATAGGCGAACGGATCGACGTCATTCAGATATTGCACTCGGCATGTCAGAGACATCTCGCGGGCCCTCTGTTTCTCGGCCGTAACGGCCGATTGTCCCGATAGCCCTTTTTCTTCGATCCAAAAAAGGCAACACACAGCCCTGTTTTACGTCGCGAGTCTCACCGGACCGCACGACCGCTTTACGCGAACGCACGAACCAGTTCGTCGTACCGCCGATTTATTTTCATTCGAATCGCCCGGCTACAACGAGAAAACGAACCTTGCTCTCATTCCATCTCTCTCTCTCTCTCTCTCTCTGTCTTTCTCTTTCCCTGTCTCTCTTTCTTCCCTTCGCGCCATACCGCTGTTCCTTTACCCCTTTCCTGTCCTCCTCCTTTCCCCTTCCCCTCCACCTCACTCTCCCTTCCCGCCCCCGTCGTCTCTTTCTTCCACCACGCGTTCCATTCGCGTCTACCGGCTCCGACGACGGAACAGAGGCTCACGTGAATACCTTGATCGCGGTGAACCGATATTCTTTTCTCTCCGCGTGCTTCGTTTCACGTGAATGAGAACGACGACGCGCCACCGCGGAAAGCTGCCCGATTTATTTTCGAAACTCGCGCGACGGGAAAAGGAAAACCTATCTCCGAGCGAGGGGTGGTCAAAAAAATGCGCGGGAACGACTGTGCAGCGCGCTCTATCGGCGTCGAATCGAATCGAGACACGTATCGTTCGAAAGCCGTGACCTTCCATTCGTGTTGCATTTTTCTATTAATTTGAATTAACCTGAACATTCAACAACAATCAAACAATTTTCAGATAATTATGGATTCTGCTTCTTCGATACGTAGAGGAAAAATTTAGACTTATTTTGTAAAAAATGTCATGTACCGATAACAATGTAAAATGTACGTTACGAATAAATAATATTATTTTTATGTAAGAATTGCAAGACCTCAAGACTCGAACAAAAGTGTCTAATAAACTCTTATGGTTGTTACTATTTTTTGACCACCCTTTGTGTTTCATCTTACACGTTTTTGCGTCTCTTTGCATTTCGACCGAACGCGCAAATGGCGTTTTAATTATACCGCGAGCGTAGTTTTCGATTTTCGTCGTCATTACGAGCGCTAACGAGAAACGCATTTTCGTTGAGATCGACGGTCACGAACGTAGGCACAGACGGTGCCGGAATAAACAACATTCGACATTTCCGTTTGCGCGCATGAAAGCGACAATGTCGGAATTGTAACAACCTTTGACTTCAGGCGTCCTGGTGAATAAGAAACCTCGTCGTTTCCAAACGGTCGATGACCTTTAGATTTTCCTTTCACTCGTTTGTCGGCTCGTTGGTCGAAAGCGGGAAGATTGGTAGGTGTAATTTTCATCGTTTACCATCAAGGTCACCAACACTATGGAATATACCGTTCCACCGTGTTTTAAGAAATACGCGATATCGCGAAACGATCGTTTATCGAAATCGAATATACATACATCTGAGAAATCTAGTCTTTGAAAAGATCTCGAAAGAAAAGCGACGATAAAATGTACACCACGAAATTTGTTTACCAAGTATTTATCTTTTTCTTTTTAATCGATCTTTCGATGCTCCGTTATAATTGAAGTTTTTGTTAATCGTTGGCAAAGCAGTCGTTTTACTTTTGCTACGTATTTCCAAGCTTGCTATTCAGGGATAAACGGAGGGAATTTTTTCACAATTTTGTAAGTTGTTACATTAACACATTACTGTCTGGCGCCGCCGTAGTTTGAATCTCGCCTATGACCAGGAAAATATCGCACTAGCGTGTTAATGTGGTATATTTATAGGAATCGCTCTAAGCATAAATCATGCTGTTACAGGGTTTCCAAAACTGTATTTCGCGTAACGCTAGTATTTCATAAAAAATTAATAATTGTGCAACGAAAAAATTTTGCATATTTGCGTACTCCAATTTGTGAGAAACTATCCGCAAATAATGTATATCGTTAATGTACGAAGTTGTTTCTATATTTTTTTTTTTAAATTGCTTACGCAATGCCCTAAGGAAACGCGGATAATCGTGTCTCGTTCGAATGGACACGACAGGATAAAAACGATGAGGAAACGTTACAAAGTCATTAATAAATGAGTCTGGCGGGTAAGTGAAATTTATTTCACCAGGAAAAGAATATAAGATTTCAGCGGTATAATAACGTGCAAGCGAATGACGCCTACAGTCGTTGCAAGGCAGTCTGCGGGAGAGGTACTTATACGGCTTGCGCCACATAATACCGTAATATCCTTTTTTCCCTCCTAACAGTATAAATATACAACACATGTGTACATTTATTGTCAAAAAAGAATAAGGATATTAAATCTAAAAAAGTCCTACGGTCGAAAATTATTGCATGTACTTTGTATAATAAAAATAAAACGCGACAAACTACAACGATTACGTAAATAAATTGACTAAAATTCACTACGAAAGTTACTATCACTTTCGTTGATATTATTTATTTAGTAACGTACAAAATTATAATGTTTTAAGTACTTCTACTCAAAGATCGTTCTTCGATCAAAAATATGAAAAACAGAAGAAATTGACGACCCTTCTTCGGGTTAATAAAATTCATCAAATTGTAAAAAAATATCCTCCGTTCAAACTCTGACGTTCTTCTGGAGCAACGAAGACAAAAGCACAAACTACTCTGGTTCATTTAACTACAATATTAACATTAGAACTACTAATATACTAATAATATATTTATTTGTACCAAAGAAATTAAAACGATAGATGCTTCAATGCAATGGAAATAAGCGTTTAACCAGATTTGTTAAAAATTACGAAAGGGTAATTTTGACTGCTTTGCTAGTTCTAATATTAACATCGAACGATGCGTAACCTTGTAACGAAGAGAAACAGAATCTCGTTTCTGATGATTTTCACTTTACGGGAACGGAGCAGAATCTAACCTAACTGCGGGGTACGGTTGCGCACGGTATGCGGGGAATCACAATACCGCGCTAAAGCGCGCGTGGTCCGACACGTCACGAAAATGGTGGAAACAATGCAACGACGGTTCTCGTATTTCCGTGGACCGCATCTGGTCTCGTTTGCAAAGCGCGCCAGGCACGAGGAATCGCTAGAAAATCGCCGCGCGGCTGAAATGAATTTACGAAGTGTCAATTATCTACGCATGCCGACCCGTCTCGTCATCCTCTCATATTCGCATTGTTCTTACCCGGCTGCATGGGCTTAGCTCCTCCGCGAACCGGCTCGATGAAGAGAAAAAGCGAGACGGGAAGAAATAGAGAATAACAGAGAAACAGACAGAGCACGCGAAGCGACAGAAAGGGAATGAGAAAGAGGGAAACCGAGACAAGGATGGAGGGAAATGAGGGGGAGGGAGATAGAAGGGAAAACGAGTCTGCGCCATGCCACGAATGTGATCGTGGTGCCCGTAGCCGACGAAAGATTCACGATTAAGATGCGATCGTAACGTAAGATCGTGCCCGAGAGGATTTCCAAACTCGTCCGAATCGACGAGTCCCACCGTGTGGGTCGATGTTTTTTCTCGCGTACGCGAACGGATCCGATGGTTCCACGCCGGTGCCAACTTTTCTGAATACATCGTCGCGTGTCAAAGGAGTTTCACCGACCGCGGGCTTTCTCTAATTGTTTTATTATACCGGACGAATTTTTCGTTAGAAAATAGGAATTCCTGTCGAGGGATTCCTGGAACGGTCTGTAGAAACTGGCACCGGTTTCTGGAGGAATTTTAAAAACGCGAATGAATTTCGACGACCATTGTTCCGAGCGAACGATGTTTACATTGCACGCTCGTGAAACGCTAAAATCGAAAAGCGTGGAACATTTCGAATTTCTCGTTCGAAGATCGAAACGTTTCCATCGTCGATCGAGCGACGAGAATTAACTGACAGCCGGATCTGTCGGGAATCTTACGTAGGAGAGGATGACGTTACAGAAAACACGGCGGTGGCGAAGGTGAGCGACAGAAAAAACAAGACAGCACGGAACGGCGAACGCGAACCGGACCTATCGTCGTGCACTAACTAACTTAGCCTCCAAAATAAATAACAGGATTGAAAAGGAGCGAGAGAACGGCTGAGCCGGTCGAAGCATTCAACGTTCGTAAAGGGACGTACAAAAGATTCGTGCCCGTAACGCCTGCGTCAAAACACTTCTGTCAATGTCACTTTTGACCGTGCATCTAATTGGTGACTCGATCCTCGCGTCACCTATGACACCGACCAGTCATGAAATTATGGCGTTCGTGTCGTTCGTACGACGAAATCGGCGTTTAATTTTCGTGGCGTCTGGGATCGCGAATCGGAACGGAGCAAGAGTACATATATATGTATGTAAACGAACCTTCGAACCGGAGTCTGCGCGACAAAAACTCACCTCGAGTGAGCGCGACGACACGCGCGCTTCCCGCGCACGGAAACGCGCGTCACCTTTCCACACGATTCACAGGGACAACACACGACCAGGGACACGCGTTAATCGACTCGATGCGTGGACGAAATAACGCGAAACCGCGAGACGGGAAAGGAAAGAAGAGAGACAGGAACAATCGAGCACACAACCGATAACACAACGTGCCTTACCTCGCGAGCGGCTGCCGCGACACTGAACGCCGCGGACACCTGTCGCCGCTAAGACGACGGTGGCGCCGCCACGTGGTCAACCCCCTCCCTACTCCGTCTCGTGTACAAAGAACACCCCAAACAGGATACCAACGGCAAAATGATAAATCTGAAGCCCTTCCAAGCGTCGTGTCATTAAAACTAAAAATCAGTTTACAGAGAGCTACGAAAATATTCAGACACTGGAATATTTGTGTTCATTGTTAACTTAACTTGACTTTGTCCTCGTATTTTATAGATGGCGTGTATCTGCCAAAGTTTATCGAATTTAATTGAAACTTTCGCAGAAGTATTTTCAGAATCTTTAACAATTATTGCCAAGTGAACAATCTTGTTTTTATTTGTTCATCAGAAATATAGGTTTCTTTTCTCATTCGAAAAAAAACAGTACTGCGACTCTCGACAGCTTTATTTTCAATAATTTAAGAATGTTTTGGGAGCTATTATTGCCATCCCTAAAATGCGTTTAATCTAATTACTATTGGACATACTATTAATTTTGGAGTAATGCCATTGCTGATTATCAAATATTTTTTTTTTAATGGACAATATGCAGTAGAGACCTGTTTGAGGGTATTAAAATATGTTTAGAAAAAAATTACAAAACGTACTTTCCATCCCTACAGGTCTCAGTTTGTATTTTCGTTTGCTACTCCGATTCCAGTTATGGTAGAGTAATGGTATCTAGCAGTGAAAGTTTTATCTTAATCGGTCCAGTGGTTCTCGAGTTTATCATGTACACGCATGCATACAAATACACGACATCCAAATGGACTAATTTATGCGATAATATAGCTTATTCTTGCATAAAATATGGTCAACAAAAATATAAAAATATACCTATTAAACAAAATACTGTAATTATCGTGTTACGTGAATAGATAAAAAATATTTAAAAACTTATTTGAATTATTTAACATTTCTTCCTATAAAAATTTTTGCATTCTCTGTTACGTTCTGTACTTTTAATAGTACGAATAAAATGTTTCTATTTTGATCATACACATGTTCTACTGTATACGTAGCACGTTTTGGAGATCGATGAGTAGGCGAGAGTGATAAATGATTTTCACTTTTAGTAACTGCATATAGCGTGCAGTCAACATCGCAGTATAACCAAGAAAACTATGATTCCCAGTGTAAAATTAAATCAAACGATATAAAGACTATACTAATATTGGACTAACGTGTCAACATAGAACGTCTGGAAAAAATTTAACGTAGCATAAAAAATTTAGTTAGTATCAAGGGAGATGTATGTAAAAACCTGCAAAGTAATCGTAAATTAATGCTTCTTATGATTGAAATGACAGTGTTTTAAACTTTCCTTGCAAGTGAATTTAACGATTGTTCTATTGACATAAACGCGTATTCGTACATTTCTGTGCGACTATGTACACATATACGTTGTTTCACATCTTTGAAAGTACCATTTAAGTGGCGTCCACATTAGGAAATAACTCTGACGTTACGCAATCAGCGCGTTAACCTATCAATGCCTGCGACAGCATTAATGCTCGGAAGTGAAGGACCCTAATTAATGGACTTTCTGTGGCTTCCAATAACGTTTCAGATAGGCTTCGTTTCAATGAATATGTATAAACGAGAATGTGATGAAAACTACTCCCGAATAACCAGTTACAAAATTATTATTCTCATCGATTCCATTTAAAATCAGAAAAATATGTGACCACTTTTTGTAAAGTGAGCTATGGGAATCTGACGATTTGAAATATAACTCAAATACGTATTTATTGTTACTCATTTTTTTAACAAAACGTTTTCCAAATGTTCCCCGCCATTTGTCAATTATTTTTCTACGAAAACGTTGATCCAAAGTTCTGTACCCACAACTTATCGTAATTTAGCTAGAAATGGCAAATGTTGAAACGACGACGGATTAATCGCCGCGTAATTACAACCGAGTACTCGTTTTTGAAAAAAAAAATTTCCATCACAAGCGCACAATTTACAGCAATCCGTTCCATTGTCGCTAAAATGGCGTCCATTATGCAAGCACGCAACATGACCGTTTCTCGCCTAAATGCCAATATTCGCAACCTATTGTACTTTAAAAATCGTCAGGTTCCCGTGACAAACTACGTAAAATATCATTCCCTGACATTACAATGTAGCATGAATCATAAAAAGATTTTATTTCCAGTACATTTTGTCGCGTGAATGGAAACGCATATATCGCCCAAAAGCGTTCCGCGACGCGTGCGTGTTTGTCGGACATTAATGCGCATAAATCGCAGGGAGCTTCTCGTAACCGCAAATTGCTTCTTCCACGAGTAACTTGTACACCGCAATTTATCGTGACAAACTATTGTCGTAAAGCATCGATTGGTAAAAACTGGAGAACGTTCTTTCACTACGTGGTTCACTCTCCCGCGAACATGTTTAATTTACGAATCGACCAAAAAGCGTCCTACGTAGGGGCATTAAGTTCCCGCAAGAAAACGTCAAGCATTACGGTTGGAAAAGAATTAGGAAACTCCGCTCGTAGTCATTTACAACGGCGTACCAAGTACACGGACTCGTCGTTTTGCGGTCAACCAAAAACTAGCGATATCGTCGTCAAACAAACTTTATCCGACCAGCCGGAACGACCCCTTCTCCTAATGCCCGTTCGAGGCTACCTTCGCCGCGTAAAACCCTTAAATGTTTCCCCCAATCCCTTTTTTTTCGATTCCCCGCAAGATAGCGAGGCCCCTGCCAAAGGGACCAGCGCCGTCCAGCTATTTGCTGGCGCGTCGTTTTCAAGGGTAGAGGTTTCGAGGACGTCTCGTTGGGGACCGAGGAGCCAAATGAAACGGCAGGGATGGTAATTGTGCGGTGAAAAAATAATCAGCTGGCGCAGCACGTAGAGCGTAACCGTAAGTGCGGCGGTGCTCATTGTTGTCACGGTACTAGGAGACCCTACGAGGGTGACAAGCTCACAAAAGGGGCTGCTGGACCCATAGAAACGTGATGGGAGGCAACGCGCGCGGGAGGGTGCCAACGCAGCGATAAAATTCTATAGTGTGTCGGGGAAATATGAGTGACTCGGCGACCGTGGACAGGCGACGAAGGAACAAAGGGGCTGGCATTACGCGAGTCAATTCCCTTTTCTTAAATAATTTCTAAATTAACCCCTTGTGGATTGCTGTGACCGTGATTAGAATTATTTTTAATTTTACTGAAATATTTTGGCTAATTATTATGTGCTCTTTGATTCTACTTAGAGATATGCACAATTCCACAGCAATGAATTTAAACGATTAAATAGGCGTCTCGAGTAAATTGCCTTCCTAGGAACATCCAAGATAAATATTACCATAGTTTAAATGGCTCGAGTTTACCGTACAGTGTGCTCTGAAAAAGTCTCGTTCAACTCCAGGAGCACAATGCACTGATTCTAACGACGAAAATATGTTGTACAAACATAGGTTCGGAAGTGTTACCAAGATGCAACCTTTCAAATTTCCACGTCAAACAAAATGTTTAGCGAGAAAACTTCGCACCCTCGTCTCGTAGATTATCAAATATGTTGAAAAATATTTTTTCCGAATCCACACAATTAATACGAATGTTTTACTGTATATCGAGTCTACAGGGAACGCAAATTGCGTCAACGAGGGATCCGCACGAGTTAAATATAAATTGAACAGCGAAACTTAGGTTAGCAATTATTCCGAATGCGAACGAAACGCGCACGAAAGCCTTCGTGGACTTCATTCCGCGTAATTAGAAATTCGGTTCGCTTCTACGAGAATGAAGATAAAAAACGTTGGAGGGGAAGTGACTCCAGAAGACCCCTTTGTTGGTAGCACTTTGCGTGCAAAACGGAAAAAAAGAAAAGGGAGTCTGGAGCAACGGAGGGTCTCTTTTGGCACATCCCTCATGAGAAACAATAATGTCGCGCGCGCTACCACTCGTTCTGACGTTGTCTGCCCACCCTCTTTACGTCTCTGTTCGTCTGGCTTTTTCTCGAGTACGCGTCCTCTTATCCATAGTCATCTACACGGCTTTCCTTCAGTTACTTACTAAATCGTGAAAAGAATCGTACGCGAACAACGGATGCGAAAAATCGCGCGGCTGGAAGGAGACGGGAGAAACGAAACAAGCGCGCCAAACTTTGAACAAAGTAACGAAACGAACGGAACTTTGCAAAGAGCAAGGAAAATTGTATTAATTCGCGAAAGCGTCTCTTCTGATTTGGGATGCGGCAGTAAAATTGTCGTGTAAACTTACCGGAATGTAACCATCGGGCTGAGGCCTCTCGTTGTCCCTGAAGAAAATGTTTGCAATTACGATCGAACACCGACGAGTTTTGGGGAAACACGTTCGCTAATCGAAACATACCGATGCCGTCGTTGGATCACTGGCGTCTGCGGCGTGCTGTCGTGAATGATCACTTGGGTGGCGTCGATTTCTTCGCATTCCGAACTCTCTTCCGAGGAATCTACGCGAGAAACGATAACGACGTGAAGCACCAACGAGAAGAACCGCGTTAACGATAATTAAAGACGCCGTTTGGAATCGGGGCGAACGAACGGAGCGCGAAAATTCCAGATGTTCCAATGTTCATCACGGTTAATTTAATTCAAAGGCCTTCGAGGCTCGAGTAGCGATTACAAGCCAGCCGTCGTTATGGCTCGTTATTTCCCGGCGCCCGGTAACTCAAATTTCCTTTCATCAAGAGAATTGCAATTACCAAAATCTGTTCGTACGAACTGCACCCTAATCCTATCAGCGATCCTTTCGACAGTGTGTATGCGTGTACCCACAATTCAACGCCCGTCCATCGAGCATACCGCAATTCCCGAAAGGAAGGATCCTATTGATTCTCTTCAAAGGGACACTGTCCTCTCGTTAACGGACCCAGGTTCGAACTATTCTAAACCCGATAGCGACCGTGCTCGATACAGCTGGTAATTCTGCTGGCACACGATGTAACCACGAACGCGCACGCGGTCGATTGCAAATCGCGTTAAATTCGTTCGGAACTCACCCTCGTCGATGCGCTCGCGTTCACGGAAGCGCGACAAGACAGGGCTGGGGCAGAGAACCGCCGAATCGCCCAACAGGTCGTCGATGTTGGTGTGCTCGCCGATGAACAGAGGCAACGTGGACGGCCGTTTCCTTGGCGACGATCTTCGGGGTGTTGGCTGCACGTTGTCGTAAGGCGAGTCCCGTCCACCGTAATTGTCCGGTGGATCCGGAGGATTTTCTACCTGAAAACCGCACACGCTTCCTTGTACCGATTTAAACCGCGATAAATATCTTCGATCTGCTCTGGGACTCAATTTATACAAAATGTTTCAAAAATATGAATACTTAAAGAAACGTCCTGCGTACCTGACTTTTCGAGTTAAAAGGTCAGAATAAACAGTCTAGTTGGGAGAAAGATAGGTCTTAAAAGACCATCTCCCGCAATAGAAAACTGTTGTTCTCTTCATCCCTGATACAAAAAGCAAGGCACGCAGGGCAACGTTGCTACATATATTACAGTCTTGATTTAATTTTATCGACCGCGGTATCTATCTTGAAATTTGTTAAAATAATAACAAGATAACTGAAACAGATTCTCAACGACCTCTTGATGTACCCGGTAAATTTCTTAATCGAGAGGCGGAGACTCGATCCCGCCATCGGGTTTGTTTTCGCGCATCATGCACGCAAGCTTTAAAGATTTATCGAGTCGCGTATTATCCGATCGGGGCGTCACCTCGTCAGTTAGGGACGGTTAAATGAATAATGCACGATATATGATCAGTTTACCCCTTCAGGACTGGCGCGATCCCCAAGTGGCTCGTCGGGCGGAGGAGGCGGAAACTCGATAGGGAACCTAGAGAGGCTTCTCTTGGCGTATATATCAGGTTCAGGGTTAACGCCAATATCGATTCTCTCGAACGACTCGGACGAGTCGGAGGTGCTGTTCGAAGTTTCCACGGGAATCTTGACGACACCGTCAGGTACGTTCGACGAGCTGTCCATCCACCATGCCTTCTCGCCGGACTCGATGTGCCTGATTTTGTTTATAGTTCTCCCGTACGTCTGATTATCGTCCGCCTCTTCGTTGTGACTCTTGACGTTCGTAGTTACGGGGATAACTTCGATTCCTTCGGGTACATTCTCTGGATCGTCGCTCATCCACCAGGCTCGTTCCCCGGATTGCTGATGTTTGATGCGATTCCTCCTTTCGCTGGACCGGGTACTGCAACGACTGGACCCTCGTCTCGATAACGGAGATGCCGGGGCAGATTGTTTCTTCGGTTCCTCCGACGGGACGTTGTCGTTCGCGTCCAACCACAAAGCCCTCTCCCCGGATTCCTGCCTCCAGAGCGTCGAGCGCGATGATTTTCTCGATTTCTCCAAGGAAACGCTGTCGTTCCCGTCCAGCCATCGCCCTCTGTCTCCAGAGTCGTGTTTCGAAACTACCGAGGAGGAGGATTGTTTCTTCGTTTCGTCCGACGGAACGCTATCGTTGGAATCTAACCACCAGCTTTTCTCCCCTGATCCCTGTCTCGAAACCGTTGAAGATTGTTTCCTGGCGTCCTCCGAGGCTACGCTGTCGTTCGAGTCCAACCACCAGGCTCGTTCTTCCGAGTCTTGTCTCCAAACTCTGTATTTGTATTTACCTGAAAGGAAGCAATTAACAGAAGTTTATCCCGATCGGCTTTTTACCTTCCAAACTGGTCAAATTGATCGTAAACAACTTACCATCGTCAGGCAAGGTACCACTGACGGTCGTTTCTTGACTGATATCGTCGTTACACACGCTTCTGGTTTCGACACCTTCAGGAACGTTGTCGGAGTTCGGGTCCATCCACCAAGGCTGTTCCCCGGAATAATCGCGTTTCACCCTGGCGCAGCTTTGTCTTCTGTCATCGGTTTTCTCCGAGTTCGCGGCACTGTAGCTCCTCGAACGGCTCTTCGACGCGGACGCCGTGGTGTACTCCGATTTTTTAATATCCGAGCTCTCTTCGTTGGAGTCCGGCCAACCGGACGACTTGCCGGACTCGCCGGAATCCTGACGTTTGCTCTTGAAAAGATTTGTTACCGGCGCGAGTGCTCTGGTCAGGAACGATTTCGCTTCCTCAGTCTTCCCGGAACGGTCGCTTCTCGATCTTGGACTGGACGGCGGTCTGGGCGGTTTGTCCATGGTCAGAGACATCTCGTCGGCGGACGACGCCAACACGCTGGTCCTGGACGATCCCGCGCTTATCTTGCCTCTCTTCTCGCAGAACGGCGACTTGGACGTACGTCTCTTCCGTCGTCTCGATCCGGGTCTCTTCTGCTTCGTGTCGTCGTCCTCCTCGCTGCTGGACGAGTTCGAAGAATTGGACTCGGTGCCGCTCGAGCTCGAGGTCCCAGTTTCCTTCTCTCTTCGTTCGGACGGCGATTTCGAGCAGCTCCTCGACTTCTCCGGCCTCGTCGAGCCGCTGGAATCGCTTTTGCTCGTCGTGGTCTTCGACATGCTCGATGGCATTCTCAATCTCGATCTGTTCGATTTCACGGAACTCGCGGATCCGGACGAAACAGCCTGATGAATTGGTTCGGAGTTCGGTTCGGATTGCGAATCTTGAGAACTGACGGACATGCTACGTTGGCTCTTCTTCTTCCTGCTGTACTTGGACTGCGAAGGATCACCGTTCTCCATGTTCAGCGTCGACTTGCGGAAATCCTTGTTTACGTACTTCATAGGCAGGATACACTTCGACGCGGTTACCGTTGCAACGTCGGTCTTCGGCACAGGTGGTTTGCCACGAGCATCCGGTGATCCGCCTTGCCTCAGATTCACTGACGACGCGCTCGAACCGACGGATGACTTCCCAGGCGATGGCGGCGGCGTCGCCTTTATTTTTGAACTCTGACTCGTCACCGAACTGGCTGACGACGATTTCGATCTGCCAATTGGCACATTTACAGCGGAACCGTCCGACGAATCGGTCCGCGTCATCTGACGGGACAGATTCTTCGAGGACCCGCTGCGCGATTGGGGGGTCGTGGACCGGCTCTGCGATGTCTGGGGACCACTGTTCGATCAAAAATGCAAAGATAGCTATAGTCTTGATCGTAGGAAGCGTTAACGATAATGTTCGTGGCAAAATTTCAAATTGGAAACTAAAGGAACATTGAAAATGTTGCAAATTTCTCTCAACGTCTTACAAGTGTCAACATCCGTAAGATTGTTCCATTCAAGGTTGCTTCGTTCTCGACAATTTAATTTTTTCTTCTGGATTATTAATGATAGACAGACTTTATTTAAATTCTACGATTTCGCCTTATAATTACAGGGTAGAGACTAGATTCTACAGATGAAAACTATAAAGAAAAGTTCATAGAAACGTACATTCTATTCCACTTTGTTTTCGAGATATGACGAGTTGTATGTTGGTATAATTATTTCGAAAGATATTAATAAATGAATTATGCTTATCTCACTGTGAGCAAGTACAGTATGTTAAACAAGAAAGGAGTCGAGTAGGACGTATGTATGTCTATATGAATTTTTTTTGCTATTTTTGTGTGTAGAATCTAGTCATGGAGTGTATGATCTACGACTGACCAATATTCGTACCGTTCCTCTCAACCGATCTATAAACTTGGAAAACAAATAAACCGACCGCTCACCTGTGAAACGACTCTTTCCCAGACGAAGTAGTATCGCGCTTCGAAGAGCTAATGTCCTCGCTTCGTTCTTGACAATACCCCTCGACGATCCTCGAGGTTTCAACGAGTCTGGGCAACGAGCTGGCGTCGGAGTTAGGCGTGGAACCCCTCCTCTCTCTGAGCCCGTCGGACTTCGTGGAGGAACCTGACGAAGACTTGACGATCCTGACATCGGTCTTCGTCGCGCCACGACCTAATCTCGGTATAGACGGTCTTCTTTGATTGCATCCCTCGCTCTTGGACGCGGAACTTTCTCTGCTGTTCTGCCCTTCCTCGCTCCTGGAAATACTTTCCCGGGAGTCTGGCGACTTCGCAACAATGGCGGCCCGTTGCGGCGAGTTCTCCCTTTTCAGGACCGTGGAATCATTGTTGAACGCTTTGGTGCCGGCGAGGCGATTGTTTTTCGCTTCGGTCTTCCCGCCGGGACACGGTCGGGGCTCGCCAATTTGCAATTTACCGTCCGTTTGATCTCTGCTGGTGTTCTCGTGCCCGATAGCCGCGGACATCTTTGAGACGGAATCGGGTTTCACGATCGGCGAATCGGCGCCGTTTCTCGAGTAACCCAGCCCGCCGTACACTTTGGTATTCTGTTCGTTTTGGTTTCTATTTGCGTGAATCTCCTGACTAGAACTGGGCGACACCTTCGAGACGGATTCGTTCCTCGAAGCGATCGCGTTCTCGTTCGACCTGCCGTACGCGAAACTGTTCACCCTGGAATTCGTCGCGCTGCCACCGCCTGCGTTGAATCCTCTCCCGTACACGGGAGTTCCGCTCGAATTCGTCGACGAGAATTTGTCTAAATACGACGACCAAGGCGTCCCGGATACCCTACCGCCGCCCCCGTACCGCGAGTACCTCGATCCATCCTCCAACCTGTCGCATTGAGCGTCCTGGTCCTTCGATTCCGTCCTCCTACGCGCTCGAATCACTTCCTTTTGATGCGCGATCCCAATGTCGGCTCTTCTGCTTCTCACGAACGAGGAAGACGCCGGTGGACTCGGCGACGTGCCTCTGGTAACCATAGTTAACGTCACGGTCTCGTTCTCCTGAAGTCTGCTATCTGCCTCGAACTCTTCGGGCTTCGTCGAGCTTGCGTACGGCTCCTGGCTCGTATCCTTTTCCGATTTGGTCTTCGCGGTGTCTTCGTTCTTCGAGTTCGCAGACGCAGGCTTACTGCCTGAAGTTCGGAACCTGTCCGATCCGGAGTAGCTTATGGCCGCGGGAACTCGGTCGTTACTACTTCTCGACGAGAGAAACCTGGAACTGCTTGTCGAGCCGTATCTCGAGGAAATCGGCGCCGAGCTCGATTCGGAAGCACCTGCAAACATATTCGTAACAATTATTGAATACGGGAGGATGGTTTCTACGTTATATCATACGATATATGTAATTCTAAATTTATTATAATATCTATATTTTTATATTACATCTATCTTCATTTTTCTTCACAATGAAGACGAATGCTGTAGCATTAATACAATTTATTTTTAAAATATTGTTTATCGTGTTGCTTATTAAGTTTCCTTAATTCCATAAATAAAATGAACACTATTGCAACGAGACGCGAGGCTGAAACAAAGGTGTACGTGTATGTTGATCGATCAATCTTCGATGATGAGGATGGATAATTTTAATAATCCAGATCAATAATACTGAGCTAGTTAACATTCTCCAAATCAACGTAACTTAGATCGAGTGTATTTGATTTCCAACATTGTTGATGGTAGTGTTTAGTTATCAAGACTGAATTTCACTGACTGTTTAGTCAAAGAGAAGACCGACGAATCGTGTAATAACGAAATTCCATTATTCAAATAGCGATAGTAACTCACTAGAAGTGGGGCCGGATCGACCGTAGGAAGACGCTCTCGAGTACACCCTGAAGGAGTTCGATTTCCCGACGCTGACCTCCGGGCTAGGCTCCCGAGAACTCCTCCCGGAGTTCGGGCGTAATCCCCGATACGAAACCGGCGGATGATCGCTTCTCTCTTTCTTCTCGATTCTGCTTTCGTTTCCATAACTTCGTGCCAAGCCTGATCCGGGATACGTGCTGGATCCGTATCGGGATACTCCGTCAGGCTCTCGGCTCTTTTCCCGCGAAGTGGCGCGGTTATATCTATCCAAGACGGAGGCCGGTCTGTCTGTAGTTTTAGTAGCTGGGAACGAATACTTCTCGAACAGGGAGGATCTGCTGCTCGATAATGGACTTTTCGACCTTACATCCTCCGACGATGATCTTCCGGGGTGCAATCTATTCTTCTCGGCTTCTTTGGTAGCTGAAATTCAACCGTTCCGATAAATCGAACCTCTCCTCTGTAGTTCTCTTTAGAAAAAGTGCATCGAAATTTTAAAATCGTTTAGACAGACATTCTCGAAGAGTCTTTTCTAAAAATACTTTCCGGACTAAAAAAATATATACTAAATTTAAAATATATTCGTAAAAAATTGCTAGATAATAGAAGAAATTAATTTTTAATTAAACAGTTTGGTGAAATAATTTTATTTGATCAAAGACGTTTTACCATGTATGTAATGCTCACCGGAATACTTAAAACTAGGCTTCTCTTCGGTCTTATCCTTCTTCAAAAACGCATTTCCAAAGCCGGAAATCCTCTCCTTGGCGGGAACCCTGGTGGAACCGGAACCGATGGACGAATAGCTCGTTCTGCAGCTAGGCAGTCCGCTTCCCGTAGAAGCGGTTCTTCCGAACGTGCCGGCAACTCCGCCGCTGGCTCTGGATCGGTAAACACTGTCACCCTGGAAACCGTGAATCGGCTAGATCGGTTCTCTCGATTCCACGCGATCGAGGAACGCTCGTCCGGTGCACCGTTACTCGGACGTCGATCGGTCGAAGTTGATCTGAAACGACCGAGTGTGCCGGAAATGTCTCCCGATCGAACGTTGTCTCGCGGAACGCAGAACCTCGCGCCGGTGCAAAATTACCAATCGAGATCGACCGACCACCTTGGAACGCGTACGGAGTTCTTTTTTCTCGCGGAAGATTTACGCGTCCCGGCTCCAATATTTATTCGCCACGGTGAAATCTCACGTCGCGTTTCAGCCTGAACATTCACGCTGGTAATATTGTCGCGAATGCACTTTTACTTTGTTTTAACGAACTATCTTTGGAAATGGGAAGAGTTCGAAGTATCGAAAAAATATACCACGTAGAAAGCAATGAAAATGCCAACTTTATCGTTTCTTTGACTACACGATAAGGTGAGGCTAATTTTTTCGTGTGTTCTTTCGAGACTACTGTCAAGTCGTTTGGGTAGCTCCTATCAAACTGAATATTTTTTTTCAATTTACAGTAATGTCCACATTATATAATACAAAGATTTCCTGGATCGATAGATTACATTCTTTTGGGAAGAAATATATTGCAAACAATTGCTGCAGTTCTTTCTGAAGAAGAACATTAATTGATAGTGGAAGGGAAAAGCTCTATTTTCTCAATTTGTCTATTTGTAATTTTTCTAATAAATGTTTGCTGCTTGAACTATTGCATTTCTTTACTGTACATGGCTATAGAAGCAAGGAATCGCCAAGCACACAGCTGGAAAAGCCTGTTTATTTGTAGAACCGAACTCTCTGTAAATAATAATGAATAGTGCGAGCTTCCAAAAGATTTGAAAAAAATCTGAATGTTTAATTCGAATGATTAACGGCACCGAGAATATCATGGTTTAATCACCGTGGCTCGTTAGCGAAGCAGACGTGTACCAGAAATAATTGGAAAGAAACGACGCGGCGAGAAAGACACTCGCGTAACCCGGATGAGAATAAAATGCATCATCCACGGACGGCTGAGGCCTACAAATGATAATTCGTGCAATTAACATAAGTTTGGCGAATTGCCCCAAGCTCGAAATAGACAGCCCGGCCTCGCCGGGAGTAATAACCTTCCTGTTTCTCTCTCATGCACTGGGTGAGACAAATAAAAGTACGCGCCCTTTTAAACCTTTCGATTTCTCGCAAAGATCAGCTTTAATCACCCTTGAATTCAATATAAACTTATTACAACTTCCGACTTGTGTCGAAACCACCTAAAAATGTATTCAGATCACAGGGAGAAGATAATTTCAATAAAAAAAAATCATTCTTCCTCCTCGTTGATCACCGAAATAAAATTCTCGAAATTTCAGTTTTAAACCACAATAAGCCTGGTAACGGTTTCTTCTTCCTCGAAATAAAATTTCGAGGATTAAAAATAGCCCGTCCCCGTTATCAATCTCTCGAATTTACGTTCGACGAATCACCTTTTTCGCAGGAATTGAGTAATAAAGGCGTCAGAATGTTTACAAAGGGAAAGTCCGTTTACGAAATCAGTTATCCCCGCCAGTAATCTCGTACGTCTCACTGTTTACATTTTTATGCAGTTTGCGGGGCTCGCGTTTTCCTCGCGTCATTACTCCAAACAACCCGACCAGCCGACGGTTTATTTACCTTGATACGGAACAGCCTTACGAGATACCAGTCCCGCGACCATAATTTCAATTTAAATTCAATTACATTCTGAAGCCCCGGCATCTTGCGCTATCGCGTTAAGACGAGATCTACCGCGGAAGCGTGGTGCCTTCGTGCTTAAACTTTTAAAAAGTGCCGTTCGTTATTATGCTAATGCCATTCGGGGTGATAATGGAATTACGACAGACGGTCCTTAAGACCGCTAAAGCGATTCCATTCAACGGAAGTGCCGAAAGGGGCCGGAAACGATAACTCCTTTCGACTCGTTTATATCCGGTCCGTTATCGTGTCCCCGGGTCTTTTCATCCGCGAAACGTGGTTTTGCCCGGTGACAACATTGATTCCACCGACTGCTTATATACGAACGGAAACCACGGTCACGCGCCACGGATTTTCTCAAACTATTGCTCTCGATAAAATGTCGAAATTGCAACATTGACACTGTACGAAGAAATTTCAAAATTACGCATGATCACTCGTATTCACAGTATAATTCATTATAAATGAAAGGAAATCAATTATTTTTATCAAATGTAGTCTATTGTACTGTGTTACTTCTATTTACAAAGTAATTTTGTTTTTTTTTTTAATATTAACGGGCAAGTAAGGCCCAATTACAAAATCGATAAAGAGATATAAATCATATGAACAAGCTTTTTACAGTGCACGAGTACGAATGGGAGTAACTGTATTAATTTTCAATAAATTGCAATTTTATTATTATTGAGTTATAATTAAGTAACTGGTCTCTATTTGGGTATACCAGAATCACGAATTGTGAAACTTTATTTTCTCAGTAACGACACATTTTTGTAAGCTTCATTTATGAATTCGATTATTGTCCAGTTCAGTAATGCCAGGAGTTCGACCTGTTAACAGGTTTTCTGCGTCGACAATAAACTCAAATAAAATCAATTTTTCATTTTCTCTCGTGTACAGGGTAGTAGAAATTATCCCGGACTCGCGATAAAATTAACCACCTCGGATTTGTGCCGACAGTGTCCACTTCTGGTTCGGGGATTACAATAATATCTACAGAGAACTGGTTGGATCCAAAACGGTTCACCTCGATCTCGCGAACCGACCACCCTAAAATAGTTAAAGTCGATACTGGTCACACCAAATGTTATATAATGAAATAAACAAAGAAACTTAAAAATATAGAATAAAATTCTGTTGCACGTCGCTCCGTTTCTGAGAAAATTGAATTTAACTATTATATCTCGCTACAGACTGTTCCCGCTTGTTCTTGTATTTATAAACATTGGCAAAGCGATGCTTTATTTTCCGTCACTTCTCCCGCCTTTCAACTATTCGCTAATTTGCACATGCACGCGTGAATTATTAGAATCGTTGGTAAATGTACCATTAGCATGTTCTATGATATCGTCAACGTATTCTGCAACAAGATTAATTACTGTTCTTATTGTTCTCGATTCTCCTTTTCGTAAATTAACATTTTGTGAAAGCTGAGACGAGCCTGTTTTTTAATTCTTTACATTTCTTTCTTGTTGAAGAACATATTGTAGCTGTCAAACGTTAACTACTATGTATTTGATACTTGACGCCTGCTAACGTGTCCAGAAATTGATGTTTAAAAATACAGAAAATTAAAGAGCAGTTCTTTGCGGCGTTCCCGGTTCGTTAGTTGCATCAAAATGCCTCACGCGCAGGATCCCGGATTGCTCCCTGATGCTGAACTTCGATATTAGTTCAAGAAGTCACCATAAACATTTTGGCAGCCAGCCTCCGACGGTCTTTGGCTAAATTCAGAAGCCAAAGGTTTGCCAAGAAGCCGAACGAGAACCTGTTACGACGTCCATTATCGGCTTTACAGTGGTTTACTGGATGATCGCGAAGTAAAGCCGAGAATTGCAAGCACGAAATTTCTGCCAGCCACGGCAAAACTTTCATCGCGCGTTACGCTTCGAGATTAGTTTCTCATTCAAATTTTATTAACATTCTGTCGTTTAATATTTATTCGTACGCGTCGTGTCGTCGTTGAATATTTAAGGAACTGTTCACAAGAATTGATATTACAAAGAGATTAAAATCTAAAGTAGACTGTATAATAAAGATGTGACCAAAAAGATACTGAACAGTCTTTGTATTTCTTTAAATTAATATATCAGCCCGTTTTAAAATTTTTCTATTAAAACTTTTTGCAATAAGCACGATTTTTTCCTTGACTATAGATCGCATTTATTTTAAAGAATATTTATTTCGATTCTATGTGCAATAAATTTTACAGCAAGAAGCGAATTGATTTTTCACCTCCAACTGTCTTAACTGTCAGTTGGGATTTAATCATTGCTAAAAGTGAAAGTTGTAATTTTAAATCGAAAGCACTAAAATTATCAAGACAGTTGGTCCGAACCGAAGTTTCAGATTCTAGAACACTACATGCGTGCTGTACTATTAATACCAAGGTTTGTTATTGCGGTTAAGGCATTGCAATGGCTAAGTTTATGACGAATGACCAAAACACGCTGTATTTCAGAAACATCTGTGGGAAATATTTAGGGATCGTTCGACTAATTTAGCAAGGGATCGAGGATCTAAGATTTCTACGTTCGAATTTCAAGACCTTTACAATTTTGTTTTCGATTGTAACTAACTCTTGGCATAGCGTCAAACGATGAGTTCTAAAAAATTTTCCTATATTTAAGAATACAGTAATACGTTATATTTCACATGAAAACCTTATTTTACCGCAGGTGTGCGGTCACGCATACTAACGAGAATCGCAGAAACGCTAATAAAAGATGGTAAAAAAGGAGAATTGATACGAATGGCCTTTGCATCCTCGAACGATGAAAATGGAGCGAAACAATCGTCCCCGTCTGATTTATCCGAGATCGATGCACGATCCATCGATATTCACCGGGCAACGACTAATCCGTCAGCGCAAACCGTTCGCTCTTATTGGGGACCCTCTGGTTTCTACCCTCGATTTAGCCTCTGCTTCTCGATATTTCGGCGTCGTGCCGAAAAGCTTTCCATTGGGTTCGTCGAATTGAAAGCAGTTCGACCGGGAAATCATTCGATATTGCTTTATCGTCCATAAAAATGGCTGTTTACAGCCCCGCCATCTCACCCGCAGCCTCAAACTCCACCTTTGCTTTATCGATAGATAAATCGTCCAGCATGCGCCGCGAGGCAGTTATTTCTCATGCGAGCTTTTCCACCGATCTCGACTTTTGTTTCGTCGACGTCCGTCTGCGTACCTTTGATGCCGCGATAATTGAATGCACCGTGGCTCGAGGAGAGGAATAATCCAATGATCAGAT